ATGATGCTTTTAAATCGCACTACATTCTATCTATCTATATATATATTTACCTGCTAGCTGGTTTGCATATCGATAAATGATCCTGCGGAATCTCGAAGAATTCTCCCACGCCAGGATCTGGAAAGATGAGTCAGTATATTGTTTTATATGCATGTATGTTTTGTGTGCGGTGTGTGTGTTGATAAGAATCTAGATAAATTACATTGATCTACAAATACATACCAAGGTAAAATGTATAATCATGTGCAAACGAAATATCAACATTTACATCTAATCTGTCTTAAAGCATTACCTGCTGAATTGAGACTGACAAATTGAAAAGGAAACTTCAGCGCAGTTACAAGCGTAGGTTTGGCCTCGGCGAAACTCACAATTTCTATGCAATATTTATTTAACATTTCTAAAAACTCTTCATGCAATTTTAATAATTGTGGCGATTCTAAAACATTAGAACGATAAGTTACATTGCGCGTTAATTAGAACTAGAGATCAATAATTACCTTCGCGTAATTCTTGAACCTCAACCGTTGGCCATAACAGCATTTGCGTTGTTTGCTTCAGAGCCGCCACATGTGAACCTCGATGAGGAGTACCGTAAAATAGAATAGCTTTGGTATTCTTGCAGATACCATTCTTATCTCCAGTTTTCCACTCTACAAGCACAGTATAATATATAATGATTCTAATAATAGCAATAGTGATAATTTTGGTACATTTATCAAAATATAAAAATTAATGTAAATGTTCAGCTTATATATACCTTCTACAAGCATTTTTTTAATTAATAATCCACCCATTGAATGGGCGACCCATATAAGTGGCCGTTGGCCCACGTTCGCCATTGTCAATTTGGTAATGAATTCTTCGCTTCTCTCTTTAATAGTGCTCCTAACAAAAATAAATGTAATGCGTCAAACTATCGGAATATTTAATACCTAAATTTATTATGGGAAATTCAAACATTCTCGTAGAGTAATAAACGAAATATAATACTTACTTCATGCTTTCTATTGGACAGAAAGGAGTCCACATAGATAAACTCGTACCATAGTTAATACCTATGATTCGCAAGGATGGTATGTCTACAGGTAACCAGTCTTTAGGCCAACAAAGTGTTTTGGATGTAAAATCAAGATTCCTCATACAAGTGTCATCCCTAAAGATATCGCGTGTAAAAATTCACAAATTAACGATATTTATTTATAAGCAAGTATCAGTATAATATATTGAAGTTCATAAAAATTTACCCTCTGCAGAAATAAGGTCCGCACGCACAATCGTTTGTGTTTTGTGGACAATCATCCAGTATCACCTCAAAATCTTGACCTATCTTTCTCCATTCGCGCAAATGCAGATCGCGAGCCAAGTCTTTAAAAAATTCTTGAGGACGATCGTCATCAACCATAGCAGACAAGTAGTCTGTAGTGTTTTCGACCAATATATTATCATCTGCAATTAAACGCATAATGTGAAAAACTAAAGAGATAATCTCTATTATGAGAAATGTAGCTTTAAAAATTATATCAAAATATATTATAAACAATTATAAAGAAATAAAGTTGCATTGATAACTGAATGCTTTGCTATGAAAAAGTGTACTATATTGTAAAATTCAAAAGTTATCATGTTCTAAACTGTTAATCCGATATATGTATAATTATTGTTAAATCAAATCCATATGAAAGTCCATATGTTTGGAGATAAATTGTATTGATTAATACGTTTTATAATATAGCATTCGATTATTGTGCATACTTTATCTTTTTACTTTTTATTCTTATTCTTATATTGTCTTTAGGGTAGAAATAACGAAACAATAAAATTCGAAAAATTATATTATATTATAGTTGTACATAAATAATAACAAACCCACAACTCCAAGTGCAGAGGTATCAATGTCACGTTGTCTCCAAGTAACAAAAACTCCACCTAACAATCCATGCAGAAATATAACGTCCATTTTTATTGCTGCGTGAATTCTGTGTAGAGGATGGAGAAGGTAGACGTTCTGCGGATATTTCTCTTTCTCGTTTTCATTTGTATCTAGATTCACCAATGCACTGATCGCCTGTGCTGATAGACGAATGTCATCGCTGTGAGACCAATGTGACAATATGCCGATCCATCCTTTATCAAAATAGTTATATTATCAACAATGCAATAATATATTACAAAAAGATCAAGTCTATCTTACCGGACTCATAGATAGTTTCTAAATATTCGGAATGAAGAGATATATTGGATAATATTCTTGCGAGTAATATACATATTTCTATGTCGTCATTGCAAATTTTTTGTATCGCTGTCAATATTGGCAGAGCTCCAGCATTAATCAAATCTAAAATTCAAAAATTAAGCAAAAGATATAAAGAGTGTACATCAATCTATAGAATTACACAAAAACATTTTCATAACTTACGTTTGCTATATTGTTCCACAGAGGAATGATGACAGATTGCATGAATGCAACTTTTAAGTAATTCATCATCCCGAACTGTTGTCGTTTCCACAAAGAGACCCACACTTGTCAAATCATAGTCAAACCATTCTACAAGATACTATACATCAATTGAATAGATGATTAGATAGCATGGATGCTATTAAATTACAATTACAATATTGTAACATTAAAAAAAATTGAAATATCTATAAATTAAATTATTTCTAAAATTATCTGTTGCATGTCATTATATTGCAATATAATAAATTATTATAACAAATTATAATTTCAGAATAATAATTTAATAGATATTTAAATTTTGTTAACATCAAAGATAATAATTTAAATAATTATATGTTAACATACATTTTTCATTTTTTTTTTTCATATTTGAATATTTTTTTCATGCATATTCAAGTACTTACTCGATGTGAGTTTTTAAACATTTTACTAAGAAATTGTGTGAGGCAGAGATGTGTGTTGTCACATAAAGCATTCAAATTTAACAACAGTGAATGTATCTTTTCTAATACATCCTGTACAAAAATATTGGCAAATATTATGTATATATTTTATCCTTTTAGAAAGTTAAGCTTAAAATAATTGAAAGTTAAATTTAAAATAGAAACTACATACATCTAAATTGTACTGCACATGATAATACGGTGGTTGCAAAAAGAACAATGAGTTAACATTGGGCATTCTTGCGAGAGCTACTGCTGTTTTAGCATCCATCATCTGTGCCAAATGACGATACTGCCAATCTGAAAGATTTATAGAGAAACATTTTAAAGGCTGGACTCAAGACTATGCATTGAAAAATTGAAAGATTAAAATTTGATCAATCCAAACAATAGGAGCTAACATTTCTTTGTCCTTATTGGTTAAATTTCAATCTTCAATCTTCAATCACAATCTTCAACGTTTAGTCTGATTTTGGTCTTAGATGCATTTAGATTTCTATCCGAGGTATTATTTTATCTTTGTTTAACAACAAAGATAAAATAATATCTAGGTGACAGTCTGGTGAGAACATAAGCCTAGAGCTGTTACCTTTTAAGTGCGACAGAGAACCAAGTGTAGTCACAGCTTTATATCGTTCATTTTTGTTCCCATGTTGAGCCATATACAATAATTTATATGCAATCTTATGATTTTTCATATTCCACCATTTTGCCAGAGCATCACTGAGACTTGTTGGCTTCTCCGATGTAGGTCCATGTAGATCCTCATCCTTCCTAAACATAAAGATATCTGAAACCAGAGGATTGATCAATGTTTATACATAGAAACATATATATAGGTCATGTTCCAATATATAATACCAGTACTAAAAATATATAATACATGTAATGTAAACTATAGATTTCTAGTATTGACACTTTAGATCAGAATATGACAATTATATATTGTTGATAGTGGATGATTACCTTTAAATCGAGGATCATCAATGTAGATGTACTGTGCCCTGGTTTGCTCTAAATTTAGAACACTTGTGTTAACAGCTGACCGAATAATCTGCGATACCTGTCGCAGTTGATATAGGAACCAGCATCCTCTAAACAAGATACAATTCCAACGTAAATATATGACATTTGATGCAACCTTGATTTCGAGTGGCAAAAAGTCACCTTGGAATGACTCACCCGAGCACTACGACGCAAGTGCTACTAGTCTTCAGGTAGTACACGTAATTTCTCGTCACTCGTGCTCGCATCGCGTTCACAGGCTACGGTAAAGTTTCTCGATACGATCATCGACAAAACGGAATCAAATTCCGTCGCAACACAATGGACGTCACATTTCAAACAATTTCAAACTTTGAAAGACGTCATGTTGAACTATTCACACGCGCGAAAAACGCTTGAAACCGCTCAACAGCGTTCAGAAAATACACACCGTCAAGCCTTCGAGAAAACTGAAATGATTGGTCTGGAAATGTGTACCAATTACGCGATTGTCGTATTTTCCGAACGTGAATGACGTCTTTCGGTTCATGACATTTTCAATATTATTTTAAATAAGGAAGCGCATTTAGGGATCATTTATACTGGTAAATGCTCTCTAATTCGTTTCAATTGATATTTCGTCATGCAATTCTTTCCTCTCATGTAGAAAATGCGAGAAAGTATAATTACAAAAAATTTTTATTCTCAAAATTTTTTTGCAGCTACATTTTTTGTTTTCATTATTTTTTTCTAATTTTTAATTATATATTTATCATTAATTATATACATTTATTTCATTTTGGAAACATATACGTACGATGAATTATCGAATAATAAAACAAAAAAGTTACAAGAGTGTAAAGTTTCAAATTCGTTCTCTTTGTTTATTTCGAAAAAGATATTATAATAATATAAAAAAGATAATATAAAAATTTGTTACGTTTAATATAAATTCATTAATATATATTAAACCTAACAAATTTTTCATCTTTTTCCTAAATTGCATAAATATATCAGGAAAACTTTTAATCAAAATAAAAATGTCTGCTTAAAATCAATATTCTCCATTTCATGCAATAATTAAAATAATAACTCCCATTTTTTTCAAAAACGCATAATTAATTTTCATAATTAATAAATGACAAAAAAAAAAGAAAACAGGATGGCTTACTCTAATGAAGTAAAATCAATCTAATGTGCCTATGTTTCTTTGCTTTTCTTTATACACCCTATAGAAGGCGAATCTAATTAATCGTCGCTGTCACGGCTGATAGAAGTGGAGGTTGAATGGAAACGAGTCATCTGGAACTGGAGCGGTTCTTAACGTTTAGAAAACTCTCGTGGTAGGTAGGGTGAGTTCACGTCGTTCACATCGACCTCATTGAATGAGAGATGTGCGCGTGCACGATGACCCGCCAGCAGTGATTTCAGCCGGCGCCGCGCCACGACATGGCGACCGTCAAAGTGACGGAGCAGAAGGTTATACTGTGCGGCGAGTACGGCGTCGGAAAGACGTCTATATTCCGGCGCTTCGCCAACAACACGTTCGTCGCTAGCAACGACCGCAAGTCGACTCTGGGCCTTGACAACATCGACAAAGAATACGTCATCGAGGACAGACGAATACGTGTGAGTATCAATTTTATGTTACATGTGAACGATTGCACCTTTTCACGTAACGGGAAATATACGCAATCACTTTGGAAAATTTTGCCTTATTTTCTTCGTTTTCTCTTTATCGATCGTCAAGTTGCATGCAATTGCGCCATAGGATTCCATAAAACTTGGTTTCGTTTAATACTGGCCTATTTCCTAAACGTACGTAAATATTGGAGTGATTGCTTTTTAAATATTGCACGAGCTGAACTTATCATATATACTGATACATATTAAATGTGACTAAATTCCTTATAAGTTGCTTCATATAATTGAATTGATACACACAGTGTATCAAGAAACATTATAATTGAGAAATTTAAATAATCTTCAGAGTATTTACTGAAAGTAAACATGACATTGTCCTTGTGAAATTTATAAGATTGATATATTTTTGACTTTGCGTCTTTTGTTCTTTTCAGCTGCAATTATGGGATACCGGCGGTAATCCGTGACCCCAATTTACTACAATTTTGCAGAGGCTGCCATTCTGGTGTTTGCCCTGGATAACTCGACATCGTTTCATTTGTTGTCTCAACATTTGCTCGACATAGTTACATATGCGGAGAACGCGAAGATATTCCTTTGTGGAAACAAAAGTGACTTGGAAAACGTCGCGCCACAAGTTACAGATGCAGAGATGGAACAATTCTGGTACTAAATAATTTTTAATAGTTTCCTAGTGTGTATTCTTTAAAACTTTTAGAGTGAATCTTATAATACTTTGAAGAGTAAAATCCCACTCTTAAGAATTGAAAATTGTGCTACTCTTTTTTAAGACTGGCTAAATGTTTACTTGTTAGAATGAGATTCCACTCTAAAAGATTTAGAGAGTACGCTTCTTTTATATATGATAATAAATTTAAAAAAAATTAAATCTTCTAGCGAACAATGTCATAATCTGATTTCGGGGATATACAAAACGTCATGCAAAACTGGCGAAGGCGTAAACGAGATGTTTGAGGATATAGCACAACATCTGGTCGAGGCAAATCGATCGCGAATGGAGCTTCACGAGATGGACAAGGATCGATTTAAGATTTCATATGTCGACGAAGCAACCGACCCATCGTGTTTGTGCTAATCTGTAATTGACATTCGCCGACACGACATGCACTTTCTGAGAATTTCTAAAGTTTAAGGGAAAACTGAATGAAATCTTTTATATCGAGCACTTATCATACATGACTTTCCTATGAGGGAAAGTTGCGTCTCGCAGAGGAAGGGAGAATCTATGAACGTGATATACATAACATATACACAAGTTGCGCGCCACGATCGGATCAGGTCTAGGATAACGCGGCAAAACAACTTTCTTGAAAATTTATTACACGTTGCGAAATTATATCTTAATCAACTAGGCTTGATCTATTAATATGATTTACACGATCGGTATTATATTATACATTGATAAATATACATACTATATCTATTTAAGTTTGTAAAGGTTACACGATAACCAGGCACTAGTGCTGAGTCCATTTGATAGTCTTCAAGTCGATACCATCTTCCACCATCTCCCACAGTGGGCTACAAAAAATGAAAAAATAAAAATATTAAAATATTAAAATATTAAAATATTAAATATTAAAATTTTGGTTTTCATGTAGTGTTATGGCTAATAGATGCATATCAGACGATAGAGAGAAATAGAGATAATCACGATCTCATGAAACGTCCAATGATAAAGTCGTTCCCTCCGCGAAACGAGATTTCAAATTGTAAAGATATAACGCCAAAGTATAATGTATACATAAATCTAACATAGTTCCTTCATCACGTCTCTCGAAATAAACATTTGTATGATAATTACTGTATTACCTCATCTCCCGAAGTCGCTTTACATGTTGTATCGTATTGTCCGCCGTGTAATCGACTTCTTCGAACGTTGTAAATCGTCCGATACCGAACCTAATTGAACAAGTCGCAAGTTACATCGATAAAATATAAAATTATTAGGTGTTGGAATTAATTCGTAGCGTTTTTAATGAAAGAATGTTATTTATTTCACATGAGCATTAAAAAATACATTAATGAAAGTACTTCCCATCACTTGTAAAACGCTACGAATTAATTCCAATATCTAATACTAAGGCATGTTCGGAAATATCACTCGAATAGCTTACTGAATTTAACATTCAGTGAAAGCAAGTATAAAATGACAAACGAAAGCATTCGAATGATATTTCCAATGCTTCATAATGACTGCATTCTAATACACTACTAATATTGAAAACCTACGTCACGTATATTATAGATTTTTAATACTGTTAGTATATTGGAACACTGTGGACTAATGATGAGTAAAGTTCCTTTATCTCAAAATATATACCTGATACTGGAATGTGCCAGATCTTCCGAGGCACCGATTGCTCTGAGCACGTAGCTGGGTTCCAAGCTCGCGCTGGTACAAGCCGAACCGCTGCTCAATGCCACATCCTTTAAAGCCATCAATAACGATTCACCCTCTACACACGCGAACGACAGATTTACGCACCCAGGATACCAGGCTATGGGATCTCCGTTTCGAACGACTTGCCGCAAATTTGACGTTATCTTTTCAATCAGATGATTCGACAATGTGTTGATGTATCTGTGATCGTACTGGAAAAAATATACAGTGTAGATTTTAACCTCAAATTAATTATATGAAGCGGAACTTTTGTTTCACTTACGTCCATTTCTGTCTGCGCTAATTCACAAGCAGCACCCAACCCTACAGCTAAGGGTGCTGGTATAGTACCGCTTCTCATTCCTCTTTCTTGTCCGCCACCGCTTTGCAATGGTTCTACGCGCACTCGTGGCCTTCTTCTAACGTACAGGGCTCCAATACCTAAATGCAGAATAGATAAATAAAGAATGTATTATAGATGCAGTGAGCTTTTTTATAAACATAGAATAATTTTTATAACTTATTGAAATGAAAATTGTATTAGACAAAAGATCATATAATTTCTAATATACAACTTCTAAAAATATTAATTTTTTTATAATTATTTATTATATCTACTATTTAAATCAATATATAAAAAAGAAATAAGGATATTATTTTCTGCGTAATAGAAATTATAATTTATACAAAATTACCTTTTGGACCATACAACTTATGACCACTGATAGACATCAGATCAATATTCATAGCATTAACATCAATTGGCACTTTGCCTATGGCTTGTGCAGCATCTGTGTGGAAAAAGACCTTTTTCTTCCTGCATAAGTAATAAGTAAAAAGTAAATGGAATTTAAAAATAACTATATATATATATATACATACATACACATAAAAAATAGAATATTTTAAATATTTATAGTATTAAAATCTTGATGCTCACCTACAAATGGTACCAATTTCTTCAATAGGCTGTTTAACACCAATCTCGTTATTTACCATCATTACAGAAACTAGTGATGTAGATGGCCTAATGGCTGCTTCCAGTTCATTGAGGTCAATAAGACCATTTGATTTTACAGAAATGTATGTTACATCAAATCCTTCAGCTTCCAGGGCTCTACATGAATCCAGTACGCATTTGTGTTCCTAAATAAAAACAGATAATTGTAGATTCACTTAAGAAAAAAAAATTAAAACTTATTATAAAAATTTCTCACTGTCTGGGTTGTCACAATATGAGTTTTCTTGGATTTGTAGAACCTCGCTACACCTTTTACAGCAATATTATTGCATTCTGTTGCCCCAGATGTAAATATCACTTCCTTCTTGTCCGCTCCTATTAGATCTGCAACTTGCTATTAAAAAAAAAGACAAGTAATCTTTTAGATTTAACAGCCATATAATATAGAAGAATTTATAAATTAAAATATCAACCTGACGAGCATGCTCAACTGCTGCTTCTGATTCCCAACCGTACATGTGAGTTCTGGAATGTGGATTACCATGGTACACTGTCAGATACGGCATCATCTTATCTAACACTCGGGGATCCTAGTAATTTATCATTTCATACGTTATTTGCATGTATATATGAGATTTGTTTTTTATAAGTGAACTAGTGTTTTTATATTTAAAGTGAAATAAATATAATATATATTTGAAATTTGACGAAAATGAGAAAAACAATTCAAGTGCAGTCCAATGCAATAATAAAAAAAACCAATAATAACAAATCCATAGGTTGCATCATATGACATCATCTCAAACTTACCAATGGAGTAGTGGCTTGAGCATCCAAGTAAAGGGCTCTACCCTCGCTCGGACCCTTTTTATAATCGTCTGTGATAGGAGCTACATTTAAAAAGCGATTATTATTAAAAATCACAAACCTCTCGTCAACATTACTCACATTCATATTCGGCAACCTTTGATAATCGTTGACCGCACGTATGCAAATGGCAATCCTTCGCACGTTGCAGTGCGATGATCAAACTTCTTGTCGATCGAAACATCCTAATTGTCGCCTACAACTGTTCTCATGAAGGTAATCCACGTATTTCCAGAAATCGCATGTTCTAACCTCGCAACAACAATACCGTATCAGTAAATTGTCGTGTCCAAATAACAGGGAAACGAACTGCGAAACGAGTCAGAACGATATAAACGTTTTTGTGCACCGATTGGCTGCCGGGAGGGTTACATGACAATTTACATAAAAAAAGAGGGGATAATGTTGGTTGCAACAAAACCTCTAAGCTATAGTTTCTATAGTTTCATTTTCTATGAATTGGTAACATTGTATAAGTTGTAATCAGGGTAGCGATCATGTAACATTTTCCCTAGGGCGGAAACGTGAAAATTCTTTGTATGTATGTGTGTATATGTAAATCATAAAAATTTTTACTTTTCTACTCTAGCGAAAGTTACATGATCGTTACAACAGGTTGTGTTGCATGCTCCAACATGCTCCTATTATACATAGAGAACTCTTACAGAGAGAAATGAGCTATAGTTGGAACATATTGGAACATGTAACAGGCGCTAATTGCTAAAACGATTTCGAATTATAATACTTTATTACATAAAATTACTATTAATAAAAACCTATGTGATAATAATTTTGAGATCATTTATTTTCTTCACAAAAGCGCGATAATTTTTTATATAATTTAGGATTTATTCGCTATAAATATTATAAATCGATATAGTTTGTCTTATCACATTAAATGCATAATAATTCTCATTAAAACACTTTCACAGATGTCTACATATATTTCTTAGATCGTCCTGACCGCTAATATAAATCCATCTAAAACCGTTTTTATTTTCTCTTTAACTGGTTTAAATCATGACATCCAGAGCATCAATCACGTTATGAAAACTCCATTTGTTTTCATTAAAACTTTCACGTAAGTTCTCTTATATACATATATGTATACATAGATGTATGTATAAGTTTTTCATCAAATATCAGAATTAATGTTATTGCCTTACATATAAATATATCAATATTATCAATCTACACATTGTAAGTAAAAAATAATTAAGATGTAATATTAAAACTGTAATGTAACTGTTGAAAGAAACAAAGATTTTTCTTGCTATAGAATAGGATTGTTATCAATCAAGTTTTACAACGTCATTTGCAATGGCATTGACAAATTTGTATAAGTTTTAATTCGATATGATCTATAAAGCTTCTAATCTTTTTATTTCTTTCGAAATCTCTATTTTCCGTCTGATTTTGTCAAGTATCTCCTTATCAGGATTTTTCAGAGCACCAGTTTTTATTTTATCCTCTAATACTTCTATTTCTCTAATTTTCTTACGAAGATTTTTTAATCTCTTTTGTGGTTCAATTGTCGTTTTCTGCGACAATGTGCTTGAATTGTCTTTAGTTATATTGTTTGTTGTGGTTTGCTTTGCAGTAGATAGTGGTTTATCGGTATGAGTTGGAACTTCTTTATGAAATTCAGGCTCTGAGATCATGATTTTGGATAATCCTTCGGCAACAGGTTCCACAGTTTTAGATTTATTTTTCTTTTTCTTCTTCTTGGATCCTTCTTGAGTTTTTGTTTGTGTACCAGGTATTACTTTGTTTTTTGCCGCTAGAGCTTCTAGCTTGGCTTTATGTTCTGCTATAAATTCTGGACTGGCACCCACAGGATATAAAGGCTTCTTTATCAATTGCTTTCCTTTACTTTCATATCTGCAAAGGGAATAACAGAAATATGCAATAGAAATAAAACAGAGTTGGCAAATAATGTCAAGATATTAAAGAACACACAAGATTACTTACAAAGGAACTTCTTCCTGAGGAATATATCCATCTTTCACACGTCGTTGCTTTCGCCATGTACCATCGGGTCGTTGGCTTGCTGGGATAAATGTACCTGAAATAATAATCACACATTTCAATCATAACTATTCAATCTTGGCTATATCTCCGCAAAATTTTTGAATTAAAAATTAAATTGAATTGAATTAAAAAAATACACAGTTAAAGCAAGTACAAGAATTCTAATAAGACAATCAGCTTGGGGTAACGCTACGAGATACATGAAAATTTTATGAGGTTAGTCTAATTACAGCACATGGGAAAAGAAACGATTTATTATTATGCAAAATTTATAGTTTTACATTTGTTTACACGACCGAGGTTAGAGCCGGTGCGTACCTCATAGGTACACTTCGCGACATGGCGAGTATCTGATCCTTACCCGTCTCGTCTTTGATATAAGTCGACGCCATCACAATTGCTCGTGAGAGCGCGCGTCCGTGAAAAATATAAATAAATGTAAAAAGGCCTCAACTATCCGCGTGCCATCCTGCGTTCTTCCATATCGTGTACGGAGTTGTACTGAGTTGTACTCAGTTGTACCGTGTATGGATTACGGAGTCAGAACAAAGTGGAGCAGAGAGCAGAGCCCTCGAGAGAGTCTTTTCCGTTCCGGTGGTATGCGAATTTTGATCATGATCTTGCCAGATGTGCTGGCAGATGTCGCTCGCAATCCTATTCCAAATTCAAGATCGACAAGTTTTCGAATTCGAATTTTATTCTGATTTACCGACATCTACTCATACTTCGTATATTCCTAATGATTATTCTACAATGTCTCTTTGTTTCCTGTTTCTTACTTTTTACCTTTTGTTTTTTTCCTCTTTGTGATCGTTTTATCAACAATTATATTTCTTGATATGTGTTTCTTCTGAAGTTCGTTAACGTTTATCTCGAGCAACAGAAAACGAAAAACGGGATAAGAAGCAAAAAGGCAATAAATAGCAAAAAGCAAGAAACAAGAAACAAAAAGCACATTGTAGAATAGGCTTAATTCTTCAGAGAACAATGGATGTGTTCAGCAGACTAGATTTATAATTCTGATTGGATGATCTAAAAGAATACATCAATAACAGCAAATGCTCACTCAACTGTTGAGTTAGCTAAATGCGCTCATTGATTGGTTTAGCAACTATCGGAAGTTTTCTTCGCGCTGATTGGATTACACTCTTAGATCTAGAAGAATAATCCTATCTCAATAGACAATCATAAAACGATTGCAAAATTATTCTCAAATATTATACATTCAAAATGCGAACATAAGACGTCTTCAAGACGTCTAAAAGATGCTTTAAGACATTTTAAATATTGTTTTAAAGACGTCCCTAGCGAAACAGATTATATATTAGATAAATCAGTATGGACAGAGTTTCTCTGAGTAATTTTGAATAGCTAATTCCTTGTCTCAAATCTTAATAAAAATATATTAAGAGTTATTCGACGCGTATTCACTCAAAACAAAAGATTAAAATATCTGTCATATTGATTGAAGATGCGTTCCGCATGATGTGCATGATGTATCATTTTATCCTTGTTGTTTATTGAATATTAAAGAAAGGTAAAATGATACATTATTATGCGCATCATACGTGAAACGGAACGCATCTTAAATGTATTCGATATAAGCATGCGCTGTGATACGTGTATAAATTCTATGGACAGACAATAAGATACTTCTCTGCTTTAAAAACACAAATTTTTTATACTTTATTCTGGCTTATATTGACATGAAATATTAAATATTTCGTAAACTATTGTTTTTTTTTGTATCAATATACTAAAACTTTTACATGCGGACTAATTAAAGGAATCATATCATGTAATTTTATTTTAAAAAGCGGAAATGATCTTTGTATCTTTTCGACGCCTCCATCTAGAAAAAAAAAACAACGTAATCAAAATACGTTCTCCTTGAAACCGTTCTATTTTCATTTGAAACATTTTTTCGTATCATTAAAAATAAGCAAAATATTCAAGATGTTCAATTCTCCATAGTTGTGCATATATATATATGTATATAATAAATTTACCAATAATACTTTTTTCTAAAAGATATATATCTGTATATATACAAAATGTACTACATATAATATACTATATGATACATTTACAAAAATATACTTTATTTAAAATATAGTAAAATACTTTACACAATTAAAAATCAAACAATTATATTTTATAACATTAATAATATAACTTTGAATAATATTAATATTAATTTAATACTAATACTACCAGTACTAATTATTTAGTAATAATAATTAAAAAATATAAACTATAGATTTTATTCTTAAAAAAGAACGGAAGATTAAATGCAATCTTTAAAGTATAAAGAAGAAAAATTTCAAGAATTTTATTTAGCAAACAATTTTGATCTTGAATTTTGTATAGAACACTTGGAATAAGGGTCGAGGAAACAAGAACACGGATATGGATATCTCGACTTCGACTGAGTAAGCGGTCCCGAGGGCTACCCCTCGATCTAGCCGGGCTGCTTCCGGGGATGCTGCGCGCGCGCACCGGGGGTTGCGCTCCGCTTTCATCTCGCAGTTTCACAGCCTCCCTTTCGCGACCCGTGTCTACCGCGGCTCGATCGTAGGTGTGTGTGCAGTTTCCCGTGTCTCGTTGTCCCCAGGTACATTGGGGCGTTTGGTATTATCATTATCGTGGTCCCGGATCTCAGTTCCTGACGAATTCGTTTGTTTCTCGCTCTGTCTCCGGGTCGTGTACGATCCAAATGCATCGCTCTATGTCGGAAAATGGAAACTGTAATTGGTATGTAGCCGTATAAGTGAATCCTCGTCGACCAACAATCTCTGTGCGATAATCGAACATTAACGTTTCGACTAAGGGGAAGTAGATTCTAGAATTGTAGCCGGTTCCCATACGTATTTCTCATTCCCAACATCTTTTTAAAGGTCACTCGGTATTACATAAAAAAAAATGGAACCGCACGGCGCGTACCGTTCAATAGATATAAGTTCAAAGGCTCCTTACTTTCTAAGGTCACACACGAGAACAATACAATGAATAAACTTAAAAAGTTTTCTGATTATGACGTTTGTACGGGAGTTCTGGCTTATGTAATCATTATTAAGTAGCAGTTCTATGTAAAAGTTCATGGCGGTCAATTAATGTAAATATATTTTGTTGCATCGCATTTTGCATGAATTTACATGTGGTTTTGTTTCAGTTACGTACTTGATAGAGTAGTAAAAATGTGTAAACGATTTAGGAAAAGCATTAAAACTAATCTATTCCTAATTAAAATTTTATTAAAATCTATTTTTTTAACTACATTATTATTAATCTACTTAAATCACGGATGTACAATTTAATATATATGTACTTGATAAATGTCAAAATATATAAATAAAAAGAACATGAAAACTGATTCACAAATTTGAAAAAAAAATTGTATCTTTTAAACTTCATTTTATATTAAGTTTAAATCATATGACTACACGGATTAAAACATTAAAAGATAAAAATAAATTTCAAATAATTATTAAAGAGATTTTCTCAAAATGAAATAATTAAATAGATTTTCTCAAATGTAATTTTGTTATTATTAATAAAGCACTCTATTTTACACTTCTAATTTTATGTATTTTAAAAAAAAGGCAGAAATAAAATACAACGCTAAAACACATATTGTATATGACACAAAGTATTTATCAATTTTCTAGAAAGCAATAATTTATGTATATAAAAAGAAATATATTTGTATTTTATATAAATTTCTACTTTGAAAAATTGGCTTTATAGTAATGTATAAAAAATTATATATAATTGATTTTTAATAAATTATAAGTACTTAATATAAAAATTTTGAATGATTTGAATTCTAAATTAAAAAAGCAGAGAATATATCGTTTAAAATTTTAAAAGGATAAAAAGAATATTAAAATTATACGAAAATAGAATAATACAATATAATTTTCTAAAATAATTTGTATACGCAATTTTGCAATTAAAATATGATTTAGGCACACCTACACAGAAAGAGAGAGAGAGAGAGAGAGAGAGAGAGAGAGAAAGAGAGAAAGTCGGAGAAAAGAATAATAAATAAAAACCTTAGTTTTTTACTTTTTATTTTACATTTTTCCATTGTTATACTTGCCACCAAGATAAAAATTATAACATCTAGTTCAGTTGCAATGTAAATTACATAATAATATATAGATAACGAGTGAAAAATGTACATGAGAGCGTAAAACCATTCAACTAGTCAAGATAATTGTACTAAGTATTTAATTTAGATTTTAAAGTAAATGATACAATTGCCTATTGCGGATGCCTCATAGTCGGTTGAGGATTAAAAAGAACCTAAAAGAAAGTTTTACTACAATGTGTTGAACGACTTCACCCAAACTGTGGTCCTGGACCTTGCAGCTTACTCTTCCTCCTCCTTCTCTTCTTGTTCTTCTCCTCCAACTCCTTCTCCCTTTTTCATCGGACATTGCACTGATGCAGGCGAAATGTATGAGAAACCACTGCGCCAAAAGATGGCATTATCCGCGGAAGAAGAAGCTAATTTATGATCCGGACTACTCACCGGCACTATTCCTTCCATCTCTAGGATGCAATCTGTCGCGAAATAGAATTCTTACGTAATTACTGCGGTATCTAGGTTTCTCGGCAATTTTTTCTTTATCGAAATTTTCGAAAGCAATAGATTACTACTATAAAATATCGAACGATACCGGTTACAAAAATAGTAAAAGAACTCTACATAGTATTTAAGAATATCTTACTAGATGCGCACATATATCTCTAACAAAATTTATGCATTTTCTTATAACGAAATTTTTTAATTTTGCTATAGTATTTCTTAATAACATTTTCATACAATACAGTTTTATGTGACAATCTTTCAAGTGACTTCGTACTTTAAAGCTTGTTAAAATCGCGAAAATATTTAAATGTAGAAGCATGACATAAGCATTCTTTTTTGACCGATAAAGTATGAAATATTCCGTTAAAAATTTGGCAATATTAAAATTAGGTATCTTGTCAACAAAAAAAAAAAAAAA